CCCCAAACCCCCAAAACCCCAAAACCCCATAAGGATAATCATAATAAGTCACTTCGAAAATATATTATGAGGGAAAGTTATATAAATATTTAAATTAGCTAGCTGAAATGAAAGCTTCCAAAAACAATAAATCGGCTGCATCATCGTAAGGGTTCAATAAACAGGATAAGCATTAAAAACTTGATGAAGAGAACCCACAGTCTCAAACTAATTCTTAAAGAGATATTTAAAGTGAGCAGCGTCCTTAAAAAATTAACAGAGACGAAATCATTGAAAAACTAAGTCAAGACATGAAAAATTTTAATCAGTAGAGAAAACAAGGCAACACCATTTAAAGTAAGTATCTGACTATATCATTATTTCATACCATTAACAACATGGACTATTTTAAGAAAGTAACATAACTTTTTGATAGGGCTTTTGATGGTGATTGTATTCTTTAATCTGTAATTTTTCACTCTCTATGTGATAAGCTCCAATGAAAAATCGGATCTCTTAGACTTTGACAAACTCTCATCAACAATATTTTGGTAATCCATCACACAGCATAAACTTCAAAGTATTTTAATCATAAACTTATAGGGCTGAAGCAATTGTAACTATCATAATGTATCTCTATGTTTCTTTTAAAAATCCTGGGTATGTAACTAGCTATGTACTCAGAGGGGATGAATATGAAGATGATTTAGATGGAATGAAAAGTAAAGCTGATAATTTGGGGCACACAGAAGGCAAAAAGTAAAAACATAAGATTAAGAGAGTAAGTAAATCATAGATCATTCATTAGCTTAGTCAACAAATCATTCAAACTGATTCTTAATAATTATTATAGAGTATATTGTCAAGAGCAGCTCAGAAGTTAAGCCGATAAGAGAGATTAGCAGGCGGTACAAACTCATAAAACCAGAATCAAGTCCTTATGACTAATTCCAATAGCATCTCAATTAATGTGAATTCCTACTAATAAGTTATGGACCAGAGTCAAAAGTGCACTCCAAACAATAAGTTTAATGCCTCCCAAAACAGGTTCATCTTTTCAAACTTAACAACTTAAAACTGTGACCCAATAGCTGCTTAAAACGACACAGTAAACCTCGATGAAAGCAACTTAAATTACTCTATGATCTCATCTAATAACTAAAACACAAATTACAGAGTCAATTAGGGCAAGGATAAAAAAGTAAAGATAATTGCATAGTTCAGCAAGAATACAAGTAGGACGACAACCCTCCAGGACTTGAACCAATCTGATAACAATCACAGTTTCCTAGACATTAGAGATAGCTACATTTAAGATGCTAACCAGAGTAAAATAAATCCTCTAGAGATCATTCAAAAGAAAATCGCTTCTAAGAATCCTAACTCTGCTTCTATTTTCACAAGCGAAGGAGATTTAGCTGGCAAGTCTACCACAGCGACCACAACTTAGGGCAAGTAGTAGTTAATTGATAAGGGGTCTTTAAGAAGTGATGATAACTAGCATAACATTGTTGGCTTTATGGTTGGAGAGAGTGAGGTGTAGATTAAGAGAGACTAATTTAGAAGAAAGTTATTCAACTCTTCCTCTGAAGATTAGATAGATGCAAGTGTGGAGGAACTAGATCATATAGGCCAGAGCAGCAATGACTTCAGAGCACACTTCGATGCTATATAAGAGGAAAATGAAGAAGATTTCCAAAGAGATGATGATTTGGGTAGAGGCGGCTTTAAATCTGAAAACCTTAAGTCAAATAACAATCAGATTAGCAATCTTGATGGTCAGAACGATGATCAACATACAACAGACGAGTCTCCGCCAAGAAGTTAAAGTAAGAATCAGAACTAGGTTTCAGATTAAAATCAACCTTAATCAATCTTCCACATTGAAAATAAATACTGCACTTCATGCAATCTAGAATAACCATTAAGAACTAAGCACTGCAGGAAATGCAACAGATGTGTTGCAACTTATGATCATCACTGTCCTTGGATTGGTAACTGTGTTGCCGAGAAGAACCGAAGGTTCTTTTTCTATTTCCTATTGCTCTAGTTTATTGAGTCAACTTGGTCTTTCGTGCTATCGATAAACAACTTCTACAAAGCGTAGGATTTGAACGAATGGCTGTTAATTAATATCCTTAACATTCTTGCCTCACTTATAAGCTTTTTCTTCATTCTGATGGTGGGGAGTTTGGTCTTTTTCCATATATTCCTTTCAAGCAATAACCTAACTACTTGGGAGTTTTTGAGCTGGAGTAAAATCTCCTACATGAAGATCTGGCCGAAGAGATATGGTTCCCCATTCTCCTAGGGCAGGACTAAATGTTAAAATCTTTCATAGTACTTCTGCCCCAGAAATCAGAGGATTAACTACTTTACTACCTGGAAGATGCCTCTGGGTCTACCAGAGCTCAATGAGTTCAACTTAGTTAGGAGGAAGTAGTATAAGTTTTTGTGCTTTTATTTTAAATTATGATCATTTAAACTGAAATTAATAAGAAAGTTAAAAACATGACGGGGTTTTGGGGTTTTGGGGTTTTGGGG